CTCGCACGCAACTTGAGTCATCATTTGTCACTTTTCAGATTTTGCGAGGACGTGACCCTGAGCCAAAGTATATTGCTTTGTAAAACTATGGGTGATAAACCGCCGGACTGGTCCTCTCTAATCAACAAGAAAGGTGAATTTGTGCGGTCACCGTCATCTTTTCGTGACTGGGTAACAGCTGACGGATCGAGCGGTTTTCCAGCTGAAGCGAATCGTTACCATCTCTACGTGTCCTTGGCTTGCCCTTGGGCTCATCGCACATTGATCGTACGGAAACTGAAAGGGCTAGAAAATGCCATATCCTACACTGTAGTTGACTGGCTCCTTGGTCCCGAAGGGTGGTTATTCACAGACAGCAAACCGAAGTGTACTCTAGACACCCTGAACGGATGTCAAACGCTGCGAAAGGTGTATCAACTTGCCTCTCCTGGTTACGAGGGCAGGGTCACGGTACCTGTGTTGTGGGACAAACATAATAAGAAGGTCGTCAACAACGAATCCAGTGAGATTATTCGAATGTTCAATAAGGAATTCAACGCTTTCTGCGCCACAGACGAGCAGAGGAAACTAGATTTGTACCCGGAGCACCTCCAAGAAAAGATCGAGGAGCTCAACGGCTGGATTTATCCGTAAGCTGCAGTAGTTGAAGTATTACGTAATCTGTTTATGATTGATAAATTTGTTGTTGTTGTTGTTATTTGTTAGAGGTGATCTTGATTCACCGTTAATATTATTGTAAATAGTAATTGGCAGTCAATTTCAGCAAAATATTTTCTGAACTCTTTTTCATTTTACATGCGTAGAAATTTTACCTATCCTCTTTGATAGAGTGAAGGATCGGGGTTTCTCTACAACCACTCCCTCCTCATACCCTTTAAATACCAGTAGGGTGTTTTTTTTTCAAAGTCGAGGGTCAAAAAACCATTTCAACACTGTTATTCAATGCTTATGTCACAAACTGTTGGTGTTTTTTAATAAACATAATGCTTTAATACTAATTATTGCATGACACTTTCATCCTTTTTAACATATTATCAAGAAACATCAACAATGGTGTCTACCGGTCAGGTTTTGCTACATCACAAGAAGCATATGATGCTGCAGTTAGAGATGTCTTCACACATCTTGATAAGGTCACAAATGGCATTAATTATGAAATGACACATTCAGCCCCGTGTGTGCAGTCTTCCAGAAAACCATAGGGAAAACTGGTGCATGTAGAGCCAGATGAGTTGACATGAACTGCTTTGGGAAAAGGAATTCTCCCTTTGCTCACAGGGCTCCTTTGCATTTTCTGAAAACATGAATCAATATTATGGACTTCAACTTAACATAAAGCAAATGAGATGTTAATTTCAAAGAGTTCGTTCTGAGATGAAGAAAAAAAGGAAAAATGTTTACTATACAATCTTTTTTTTATTTGTCCTGTGAGTGCCCTTCCTTTGTTTGCAAGTACATCCTATTTAGGTTGAAGAAAATTTTCCAAATTTTCCACACTCAGTAGTCATATGATAAAATGCTTATTGACCGAGTAGGATAGGGCTCTAAGGAAAATATTTGGCTTACAGTCACTACATCTAGTCTGTATGTCATGAGCTTGAGCCAAATATTTCCCCATCAGGCCTTCCCACTCTATCATTATGTACACATTTTTATCCATCAAACATTCCAACATATATACTATTGGTTTAAATTCATGACATGGCTGAAAATACTCATGTTAAAACTGAGAATGTTCAAGTGAATTGTATATCACCTGATAATTATGTCCTAATTTTGAAATGTTACATTTGGTATCACCACCTCTTTCTTTTAACTTACATGATTCAAGATTAATTTGTTCAGCCCTCTTTGCAATCTCTACCCTCAAATACTCTTATTGAGAAGGAAACCCATGTTGATTCATTGGGTAGACCTAAAATATTCAATAATTTGTTTATCTTTATTATCCAGGTAGAAGATATCTTGAGTAAATCTCGTTACTTGACTGGCAACACCATCACAGAGGCAGATGTCCGTCTTTTTACAACTCTTGTTAGATTTGATATGGTCTACGTTGGTCATTTTAAGGTGCTACAGAATTAACAAACTTTTATATTATTTTTGTTGTTAGAAACTGCAATAAACAGCCCTGTATGATGTAAGGCCTCTTTTGAAAACCATAGTTCTGTCCAAATACCTTAAGCCCTTTGTCCCTTAAGAATGACAAACATCTAATTTCTCCTTACAATGTCACCCCTGAATCACTCTTTGATTTTACAAGAATAAACAAAATGATCACCATGTAAAGAAGCCCTTGATTGTTACCCGAATTCTCCTTGTCAGCACCTTAGGAAATGGATAGAGAACAGTATTTAGAATGTACTGTATATATGTGAGTTTCTAGTAATCATGATTATAAGGTATCTGTTTTATGTCATTTTTTTTTTTTTTTGTAGTGCAATAAAAAACGTATTATGGACTATCCAAACATGTGGGGATATGTTCGGGATTTGTATCAAACAAGTGGAATTGGTGAAACTGTGGATGCTGAACACATTCAAAAGCATTATCAGGTAAATAAATACTTGCAGTTGGAAAATCAGGAGTTTTCCTTTTGGAGGGTCCAACAGAACGTAGTGTCTTGTCATGTGCGGGCATGCCAGGAGGGTAAACACTTTATTAATTTTATATTTTTTTCTTCTTTTATCAAGAGAGGGTTCATATGTACCCTTGCAGATCCCTGCCCCCCCACTCACTCCTAATATGAAAATGCTACCATTGCACTACCAGTGTAAGGATTAATTATCGTTAGTTCAAATGATTTTGGATAAAACATGTAAATTTGGTGGAATCTAAAAATAAGGTGATGATGTGACAATATTTTGTTTTGTTTTTTAACTTTTCACAAAATTTTTGTAAAATTGAAAAAAAAAATTCAAAAATCAAACATGGGAAGAAAGATCTAAATAATTCAGAGACATAAACATAGAAAGAAGGGACAAGTTTGGCCATGAAAGGAAAGGATTGCCATGAATTGAAAACAACAGCTTGTGAAATAACTGGCCTTTATTTTCAAGACATGCAAAGCATGATGACCAACCTCCTTTGAAAAGTTTAATTCAGTTGCATTTTGGCTCTGAAATATAGGAAATCTTATACAACAACAGTAATTTTTCAGTTAGATTTCTTAAAAGAGAAGACAATGTGTGTTAACTGCTTATTTTCATACATTTTGTTACAGCAAAGTCACTTGAAGATCAACCCATATGGTATTGTGGCCATTGGCCCAGACCTAGACTTCAACAAGCCACATGGCCGACAGTAATGAGATGTCAAAAACGTGAAAAAAGCTGTATCACGCTTACTTATTAACTCACAATTTATTCACTCGATTGGATGATTTTACCACAAGGCTTTGGTTCACTCCCACTCACAACTCCTGGCTTATTTGAAAGAAACACACACTCAGCATCCCGTTGTAAGCATGTGGAGCAGTGCGACATTTGGGGCAATGAAATACATGGCACATACATGATTGTTTGGTTATGTTTAGATGAACGAAATCACTTATAAATGTCAATCAAATTAGGAATAATTAATGTATTGTACAGTTTCTAGAACCTCTTGGTGAATTTTTATAAGTTATCATACATCTTCATACATTGTAAACTTATATGACTTTTATTTTTTAAATTTATGCACCAGCCCATGTTTGCCTTTGAGTCAACTTGCTTCATTTGTTAATGTTCTACTGAACTTCATCAACTCTCTAAAATTACATCATTTCTGCATTCATAACCTTTTGAACAGCAACACAGATCTGTTTTTTTTGTTTTGATTTTTTTGTAAAAACTTGTCTTACCTTTCTTAAGTCAACAAAATTTTGAATTTTTACAGTTATTAAAACTTTTTGGACTTTTTTTTTCGGGAGGAACCACTATTTAAATCAATATTTTAGGCTCTTTTTGAAAAAAACAATTTTAGACCCTTGCTGTACCAGTTAGTATTTTAGCATTAGATCAGTTGCATTAGTAGAAGTGGAAAGTCAGTGTAAATGGTTAAATTAAACCTTGTAAAACTAGGTAAATTATTTAAGTAGAAGGGTTTAAAATAAAATAAAGGACCATTCTTTTTTTGTTTGATTTGTCACCTTTGGCTATTTCTTTTTGGACCAAAAGTCTTTATCTAAGTTTTTTTAACCAGGTTTTCGACTGCCACTTGTCTACCGGTAAATTTAGCTTTTGTTCCTATGTTAATCAGCTTCTTTCTACTCCTCCAATCACTTCTTAAGTCCGTCTAAATAAGGTGTTATTTCCTGTTTTGAGGGAAATTTTCGGCGAGGATTGAAAAGCGTGTAGTCCAAGTGACAAGTTAAAGTCGTGATAGGTCCTCTATATTGGTAAGGGATATAAACTTTCCAACCGCAGCAAGCGAGTGATACCCTATTGTTTCTGTAGTTCATTTTTTTCTCTGATACTGCGCTGGATTTTCGTTGCAAAGGGTTCCATACTTCCAAAGGTAATCTGTTACGTGAAAAAGGACTGAAAGGGCGTGGGTGCAAGGAAGAAGCTGTGTGGGAGGCGATAATATTAGTCACACCCAAACCTTGCAACACGTACCTCTTGCTTTAGTAGCGTGGGTAGTTCAGGCACTGTTTCCCAAATGCCTCAACATTTTTTCGATTTTTTGTTCCTGTAAACTCAGTGCTTTAAGTAAACGTAAAACAGTTCTCAACCCACAAAATTAGTGTCAATTGAGAGTACGAAGGTAGACACCCAAATTAGATTTCCATTTGTCTGTGTTTTGGCAACAAAATATCATACATTGTTTGAGGAAAATGTTCACAGATACAAATGAAATTTGACAGGTTTGCAGAAGAAGTAACTAATCCTTCAGCCCAAGAGAGGGAAGTGTACTCGTAAATTTTGTCGTTTATCCAGCCATATGAGTTTCCCGCTCCGATCCCCCGCTGATATTGTTTTGTTCATCCCCAGTTCCCCGATCAGCAGTTGGTTCGAGCCACACTGTCCAGGCACACAAAATCATTTCATTTTTGATATATTTCCTCGTCGTCTTAAAGGTTAATGAGCCTGAAATGAGGGATACAAAGACTAGAGAGAAAGGATCTCGTCGTACTGTATTCTTAGCAACGTTTATTCCAATCACAATTGTGGTAATTTTTCTCGTTTTATGGAGACCGATGTTGCTTCCATATTTCTTCCGATACGCGAAGTTGACAATTTCTGAATATGTCAATGACAAACAGAGGTTTTTGGACAACGAACTAGAGGCTGCACTCAAAGAATGGAGAATGTATCAACTGGAACGGCAATTTGGACAAGAATGGTGCAAAAGGAACGTTAAACCAAGAAGCGACGTAACATGGCTAACTGCGATGGTTAATGACGATTTCGCCATTCCTGCATTGGTTTTAGGTCACTCCATCCGCACTTTTTCCTGTCAACAAAACATGATAGCGTTTGTTTCAAACAAGGTGAGTGCAGGTGCACGAAAAGCCCTCAAGAGAGTTGGCTGGGACACTCGTTTGGTGGAAGGAATGGACTGTGACTGGCTTGATGCAAGATTGGGCAGTAAGCAAGATACTGGATTTTTTGCCAGACCAGGAGGAAACAGAATCAAGGGAACACATACTCGCTTCCACGCTTGGAATTACACTGAATTTTCTAAAATTATTTATGTAGATGCTGATTATATGCTGACAACAAACATAGACAAATTGTTTGATATCCCAGATGACTTTGCTGCTGCTCCTGGCTCAAGACCAGGGGTTCTGGATCCATGTTTCAATGCAGGGCTTCTTGTGTTTAGACCAGACACCAAATTTTATCAGGAAATCATGGACTTGTGGTGGGAAACAACAAAAAAAGACACTTGTCCAAACGATCAGGTGTTGTTATGGCATTACTACGCTGATGCTGGTAACTGGAAAGCTCTCCCTTATGCCTTCAACATCAGACGCATAATTTACAGGCCCCTTAATTCATTCCATTTTGCTTGCTGTGTTCCTCCCAAACCATGGTCTGCAAAGTGTAGACCAAGTAGAAAAGAAGCAGAAGCATATAATGGGCCGATTTTGGTCCCTGATGACATGTCATTAGTGTTTTGGAAGAATCTTTACGAATTGTTGAAGATAAACAATTTAGATGAGTGGTGGAGAACAACAAAGTTCTTCCGAGCATCTGAAGAATTTAGTGCTGTGACTTTCTCTGACTGCCGGAAACAAGAGTCATAAATACTTTACAGATTACACTGCTACATTTACTGTTGTTTCAAAATCTGGTTTAGTGGTATGCAAAAAGGGATCATATATGTTCCATGGCTATTCTTTTACATATAGATTGTTGATTGTTCAACTGTGTACTGCATATCATGAAGCCTCCACCTAAGAAATCTTCCATTCATGCAAATAATTTTTATTGCATGTTACGGACCTTGTATCTAGCACCTTGGGTGCATTCTTGTCATCGTATTTTATTTTCTACCACTAACAGAACTCCTGTTCAATTATCAGCATATTGTATTCCTCATTTTCAGAGTTGTTTTTCCTTAAGAAACAGAAAAAATTGTTCTGGGTAGTTATATTTATTACAAATTTAATGTAAATGATATTTATATCATGGTCAGTTCCCTATTCAGATGTTTTTCTCAGTTTTTCCAAAAGTTGTTTATCTCTATCAACAGCTCTTCAAGTTGTGAGAAATAGAGAAAAATGTTGGGACATTTTGCCTTGAAATTTGTTGATCTAGCAACCTGTGTTTGACTTTTATGTAACAAGTTGCAACTTTTGGCTCTTACTTGGTGTAGAAGATGCAGTATACATCACAATAGAATTTCATCACAACTGGGAACAAGAAAACAATGAAAAAAATAATGTGACGTTTACTGTGTCTTCTACACCAATTAAGAGCCCAACTTTTGTAAAACTTACTTTTATGGTCTGAAGTGAAAGTGATAGAAGCATTTTCATAAATTTTTTTAAACCTTCTTTTGTTGTTTTCTTCCATGAAACTTTGCCTTTTTCTCTTTTGTTGCCCAAATAAATCAGCCTTTGGTATTGTGGATACCGGGGAGGGGGGGGGGGGGGGGGGGGGGGGGGGGGGGGGGGGAGATTGATTTAGTGTCTGTAAGAGACCATAATAGCAGGTATGAGAGAAAAATAATTGTTTTGTCTTTAAATGTATGAATTAATATGTAACTACGCAAACATTAAGTTCTAACATGGTCCCATGAGCAAGAAAAAGATCTGGCCAAGAGCAGGAAATTCTTATGTTTGCACCTAATTGAAGAATGGTTTTTTTTATTTTCCTTTACTGTAAAGTCGCTTTATATTGTGAGTTAGGATTTTGGAAAAAGTGCATATGTGACCTCTTTAGCAAGAGAAAAAACACAAGCAAAATTTTGTGCTGGGGGGGGGGGGGAGAATGTGTAATAACAGGAGTTTATTTCAGTCATTTCCTCATGCGTTTCTGAGGGAATGGCTCTTCTCAGCCTGGTGTCCTTATGTCATATTATGTATTATGTTTTGAAATGAAAGGAGAATCTTGAGAACAAATGCCAGTCATACTGCCTACTCAAAGACAAGTGATGTTTTTGTTTTTGGATATGTAAAAATTGCACTAAAATTTTATCTCTGGTCAGCTGTTAATGAATTTAGGTTGCAAAATGGCCACTTTTAGGAAAGTTGAACAAGAGGTGCTGATCTGTATGTTGTGGTGATCTGATTCACTAGTTCGAATTATGATTAAAGCAATTTTGATAAATTGAGTAATTAATTGGCCTTTTTTAACCCTTAGACACCTAAGAGTCACTAGCATTTAGTTTTTCCTTACAGCATTACTTGTGAATCACACATCAAGGTCTAAAGTAAAGGAAATAAACACCAAATAAAGAAGCTCTTGATAGTAGAACAAATTCTCCTTGTCAGCATCTTAGAAAATGTATAGAGAGCAGTATGGAGAATATGCATACTGATATTCAGGGTTATGTACAAAGTGTTATTACTATCCCCATGAAATAATTGTACCTAGGAGTATATTTTCTGCTTGATTAGTCATTCTTGGACCTAAGGAATGGCTACTTCCTGAGCCAGAAAATTTCCACAGTTAAATTCTGAAAAAGTCGTTCTTTCTTACAGCTGTTTTGTCTAGACTCACAAGATTTTTTTTTTGTGTGTGTTACATTCAAGAGATGTTGGTCTTTAAATTCAAGATCTTTACAAATTTCTTTACATCATGGTGTTGTGGATGTGGAAAAGGGAGATAGATGCCCAAAAAAAATTGATAAGAGAGGAAAGCACCCACTGTTCCAGAAATTAACTAATGCTTATTTCTTGAGGAGTTTCGTTGCTGAAGGATCTTAGATTGGGCTCTAGTAAACAGAAGAGAAATAGCTTATGATCTGCGTTGCTTTGAAATAGCTGATAAAGGCAAGGGTCTATGTGAGAGATGCGAGGACATGGTATGAGTGGGAAAAACTAATTTGCATGTAACAACAACAAAGGCGATGACTAGGAGAATGGTAATTAAAAACTTGAGTTTTATTTGTATCACAAAACTCGATTAGCAATGTCTCCTGATGGTCAGAACTTTCAGCGCTGAGTGTTACGTGTACGCCTCTGCATACCTACTTTTCTTAATCAGTCGTGAGAAGTCTGGATTCTGTTGTAGTTCCGCGGGCTCAGCTTCAAAATGGCGCGAAACATTTTCAAAGTAGTTCGAATGAAAGATAGTTAGGGTCAAGCTGAAATGAAATACGTAAATTCCTTATTACTGGGCTAGTTGTAGTAACTATTTTAGGAAAATATTTCTACATTTTGGATAAAGGGCCATTTGATGTCTCAGCGGCCTAATTTTAAGCCAGGAATGCGTTCTTTGATTGTCGCTTTTTGACCACGAACAGAACTCATGTCAACAAGAATGGTTGGCGAAGACACAGAGCTGGAGGCTACGGTAAGATTTTAGTACTCTACAAATTTAGTTCGTTATTTCCTTATAAAGCAGATTTGAATAGGAGACGATTCATTTGCCAAATAGTAAAAGTAACAAAACGATGTTGATGTTTTCGTCTAAGCAATGTTGAAATCGATTACTCTATTGTTGCCACTTTCATGTCGATTTCTGATCAGCGCGTCAATTTAATTTCATTTTTGAGTTCCTGTGATTTTAGATCAGAAAGATTTAATTACCTCCAATTATGTGAAATCTGAGAGGGATTGTGAACTGCTGATTTGGAGACAGTTTTACAAAAACGAAGAGCACAAGTCTTTGAAGTGGTTCTATCTACAAATTTGTTAGGAACAGAATTGAAGTAACTGGGATATGGAATGCAAAACAAATGTTTTTAGATCCTTGCATATCATTACTGAACTTTGAAGTCACAAAGATGAGGAGTAGATTACTTCGAGGTTGAGTGTTTCCTTATGCAAGAAATGAAATGTACTTACATATGACGTTTACCCTTTGTGATTGCACAGGGCAACTCTTAAAAATGTGTTAGATTTATGGTTAATTTATGTTTTGTTTGTCTTGACAGTCTAACCTTACTGATGGTGATCGCAAAGAAACAAGGAAATCCAGGCCTATTGATGCATTTTTTCAGCCAGCCAAAGCAGTAGAAGGTACAAAAACTCAGTTGGGACACAAGATTGCACTGTCAAACTTTACGAAACCCAGTCAGCCATCAACAGACACAATTGACGGCGACAAGAGGGAGAATGAGATAATTCAGGACACTAAAGCTTCTGGCTCAATTTGTGGAAACGAAGGCCAAACTTTGAAAAAGAAACAATGTTTGTTGGATGGAAAATTGGGTTACCAAGCACCAAAACAGGATTCATCCCTAGAAGAAGAATTAAAATCAAAACAAAGTAAACGTAAGTGGTCAGTCACATGCGCTGTGCGTAACACTTCAAAACTTTTGAATAGTTCAGGATCAGACTTTGAAGATGAAGGGAAAGATTTATTTAATGCAAAAAATAAACTAGAACAAAAGTCTTGCAAGAAGAAGGTGAGAGATAAAAAAAGAACTGCACAAGAATGCAAGGGAAAAATCTCAAAACTGTCAGATGACAAGGAGAAAGAAATTGAAACAAGTCAAGTTAAACATACAGGGGAAGAATCTCAGAGAAATATAGATATTGAAGCAAAAGTTCCAGTTACCAGTGGTAATAGTGAACAGACTAAGGAATTCAGAACTAGTGCCTTTGATGTTTTGATGAATAGACAAATGGTTAGGAAACCAGAAGATGATGGGCTACAGGTTTCTGTGGATGAATTTCAAGATGCATCAATTGAAATTATTTCAGAAACTTCAAATTCTTGTGATATTGTTGATTGTAAAGAAATGCTCCACTCCAATTCAAATGTCACAAAATTATTAGAATCAAGGAAAGATTCTTCTTCTGATAGAAATCACTTTATCAAAAACACCGAGACAAATGCTTTTGATTTATTGATGAAGAAAGGAAAGAGTCCCAAAAAAGGAGATTCCCAGCTTCAGCTTGAGCCTGATAAACTTCCACAAAATTTTGATGGCTCACCCAAAAAAAAACCCAAGAAGAAATCTTTTGAATTTCATCTGAGCATTCTAGGTGGCAAGAAGAAAGATGTGGATTTTGTCACAGAATCTGACAATCTAGGCACTGATGTTCAAAATTGTGAAAGGAGTGTAAAGAGGAAAAGGAAAAGGAGAAAACCTGGAGATGGAAGTGAGTTGCTTGAGAGTGAAAGTGATGAAGCCATTCTCAGTGAAAATTCTAAAGAGGTGGTGGTGGTTACTAGATCAAAAAGAGGAAGGCAAACAAGTAAAGTTGCAAATGAGAAACATGTAGAGGGAGACAAAGTTGTGATGGACGAGAAGGGAAAGAGTGAGAAGAAAGGAAGAAGAACTGGGAACAGAAGCACTTCCACTGGCAGTGAACTGAGCTATACTCTGCACGTCAGGGAAGCTCGGTGTGGAAGTGAAAAGAAACAGCAAAGAGGCAATAATGATGTAGATGCTAAAGAAATGAAGGAGAAAAGGAATGTAAAAGCTAGAAAGGGAGGTGACACAGCTTCCACACAAGGGCAGTTCCAAGATAAATCACCCTGGTATGTTCATGATCATATACATGTATATTGTGTTGCAGAAGAATTTTGCAATTCCATTTTTTTTTGTAACATGTTGTAACTGATTTGAGAAAATAAGTTCTCACTTTGGTGTCAGTTGTTGTTTCAGTCCTTCTGGGTAGTGAAGTATTTCCTCTGAAGTTAATTCCAATGTAGTGACTACAAATTGACTCATTCATATAGTTATTATTTTACTTTGTCACTCACTGTTTCTCTGAAAGCTCTGAAGACCTTGAAATGCCCAAGAGAAGAGGAGATCAGAAGAAAAAGAATGGACAGTCAAGCAAGGAACAGTCAAGCAAGGAACAGTCAAGCAAGGAACAGTCAAGCAAGGAACAGTCAAGCATTGACAGCAGAATTGTTGATGAAAGGCAGGAAAAAGCTGACAGTGAGAAAGAAAAAGGAACTAAGAACTTGACTGACAACGAGAAAACAGCTACATGTAAAGGTATGTACAAGAAGAATGATTTCTTGCGCTAAAATTATTTCTTGAGCTACTGATTGGCATCGTGCTATGCTGAGCTACAGTATTTTGGGTTTTCATGTAGTGGCTAATTACCAGTTAATTTACTACATTGACTTACCCACAAAATAATTAGCAACCAATAAATCAGTGGTTATATCCTCAAAGCATTTCTTTTTTTTTTTTTTTGGTTTTGAGAAATAGGAAATTTTTTTTTTGTTTTAGATTAAAGACATATCTCTTACTAGCCCTGGTGCAAAGCAGGCTAGCCATAAATCTGGGGAGTATGACAAGTCAAACAAATTTTTTAACTTAATGGACCTTACAGTGAGATACTGGCTGGTTCTCATGCATTTTAAATGCAATAATTATTTTACAAGGATCTTTTCATTTTCAGAGCCCAAACCTTTGGCCTCCATATTTCTAAAAAAAAAGGCATTAAACCCCAAAGCTGACATTTTAGAAGAACAACCCACAGATTTGGTTGATTCAGTATCATCACCCACCACAACCTCAACGACAACAGCAGACAACACTGCTGATAAAAGCAGCACAAGTGATATGCATTCCTCTTCACTGAAAGAAAAACTAACCATCAATCAGGAAGCTGCCAAAAAAGCTTTTAATGCATTGTTCACTGGCGCACGTCATCAGAAAACTCCCCCTGTTGTTACTGCGGCAGAGGTTCTTCCAGCTCCATGGCCAACTGTCAGCCATGTGGTTCAAAAAGAGCATCATAGTTCTCTTGGTGTTAATTTCTGGAGTCTTCCTTGGCCCATTGGGAGAGGTCACAAATCAGATGATATCTCTGGCAGTTTATTGCCTGAAGGTACAGTAGGTGTACTATACTACATGTGTTGCCTATGGATACACAAATAATGATGCTGATGAAGATAAGATTTTGAACAGTTAATCATGGCTTTATTCATCACTAGTGTAGGTTCCAGTCGTTAGCCTTGTTTGATAATTTGTATTAATTTTACAGTACATATTTTCATCTTATTATCATTGAACAACTTGGGTGCATGAGGTGATCTCACTGACAGATGTGACTGCTAGTAGAACTTAGCAAATGTGTTCTTTATGTCATATTTCTCTTCTATTCAGATTACATTTTCAACGCAATGTCACAAGAAGATAAAGTGATGTTTTCTGGACCAAGAGCTTTTGAACAGTCCTTGTGTCACTCCAAGAGAGTGGTTAGTAATAGTCATAAATTGAGAGCTCTTTTTCTTGTCAAAGTGTACCCTTAAACAATATATACAATCCCCAATGGTGGATTAGAAATGGTGGAGGGTTACATTGGATTTTATTACTGGCATTAACTTTCACGCCAAATTGAATATATTGCAGTATTCTGATGGAGTAGCCTCATCAACTGAGTCAGGGTAGCCCTAAAATTATTTCAAATTGCTTCAGTTTTGATGATGGGTTGGGTAAACTTTGATATACTTAACATTTAGATATATGGTGGCTTTTGTTGCATGAATTTCCTTTTTAAAAATATCTTGAATTGTGTGTTTCCAGAAAATATCCATACCCCCACCACGGAGGGAATTTCATAT